AAGGTTGGAGAGAAGCCTGGGACCATGGGGAGGCAACTGGTGTGGTATGGAGGAAGGAAACGCCAAGGGCCTGACCTCACCAACAGCCTCCCAGCGATTCCCCGAGAGAGCTCGGGCTCAGCCCGGCGCAGGCACAGCATGACGAGGCCCCATGGGTGTTTATTGCTCTGCCCGATTGCCGCTTAGGTCATCAGGACCAAGAATGTTTACTGCCGTCGGTCGTCTTGTCCCTTTTCTGATGGCGGAAGGGCTGTGGCACATCCCCCTCTTCTTTCCTTCTCCCTTACGCTTAAACCAGACTTGGAGCGGTGACAGCCACTGTCACCCTCAGCAGGGACCTGGGTGTCTCTGCGCTGGCGGTCAGGTGCTGCCAGAGAGACTCTGATGCCTCATTACTGTCCTTGTTGGAGACTGATACCTCCTGTTATTATTCTTCCCAGAGAGAAACAACCTGGCCGGGGTGCGGCAGATCGTGCTGGTGCTCTCCGGGAAGGGTGGCGTGGGGAAGAGCACCATCTCCACCGAGCTGGCTCTGTCGCTGCGGCACACCGGGAAGAAGGTGAGCTCTGTCTTTTCTTTCCCGCCCTCTGGCTGGGCTGAGTTTTGCTCGTCCTTTATATATGCGTGTGTCCTCTGCGGGCAGCGTATAGATCCTGTGTGTGAAAATGCTGCTTGTGATAGCAGCTCAAGTGATTCTTTTTCCTGTGTTTGCTTGATCCAGCGCAGGTAACTGCAGTTCATTTCCCTTTCATCCAACAGACTAAAATCACTCAAGATTTGTGGTTGGTTTTGAAACTGAGGCACTGAGAAATGACTTTGCTGGTTTGTGGTGTAACACACACTCCTCCTGTGGAGTGAAGTGGGCGAACTGATGGGCAGTGTTACGATGGGAACAAAGGGGAACTGTGTGGGCATAAGGCAGGCTAAATTCCCCGAGGATCTTTTTTACAGGCTCTGTGCAGCCATTGCCACTTGCATCCTGACAGGTATCTGGCATAAAGATCTCCCCAAAGTTCCTGAGGAACACCCAGGAGATGCTCCTCAGAGAGATACTGACCAGGAGGACAGTCAAACCTTAAAGCAGTTCATTGAAACCATGTTTCAAATCTGGCTGCTGAGCTTAGAGTCCCTTCTGTAAAGTGCTGTGAGCAGCCGAAATTTGGACGCTGCCTCCCCCTGCCTGGGGAAGGAGCACGGCTGGGTGCAGCCACTGTGCTCAACCCTGTCTGAAGGGTTCTGCCTCGTCGCCCGCAGGTGGGGATCCTGGATGTGGACCTGTGCGGCCCCAGCATACCCCGCATGTTCAGGGTGCAGGACAACGACGTCCACCAGTGCGACAGCGGCTGGGTCCCCGTCTTTGTGGACCAAGACAAGAGCATCTCGCTCATGTCCATCGGCTTCCTGCTGGAGAAGCCAGATGATGCCGTGGTGTGGAGAGGACCCAAGAAAAATGGTACAGTTGGCTTTTGCTGTTTGTGGCAGCCTTCTAGTGTCAGGAACCTTCTGTGAACCCTCCTGGAGGTGGTGTTTGTTCCTACTGGGGGTCAGGCTTTTCTGGGCACGTCATTCCTTGGAGTAAGACAAGGCTCCTGTTCTGCAGGAGTAGCTTGGATCTCTCAGATGGGGCGAGCGCCGCTCGTGTCGTGCTGGCACATAGTGCTGCTGTCTCTCCCTGGGCCCTTGTCACCCAGGGTCCCTCCCTGCCCCGCCTGGCCCATGGCTGAAACCTAGTGTTGTGTTTTGTGTCTCTTTTTCTGCCCCTTTTATTTCCATAGCTTTGATCAAACAATTTGTTGCTGACGTGGCCTGGGGTGACCTGGACTTCCTCATCGTCGACACGCCACCGGGCACGTCAGATGAGCATATCTCCACGGTGGAGGCCTTGCGGCCCTACAAGCCGCTCGGAGCAATCCTGGTCACGACACCCCAGGTAGGGCAGCTGGCTGGGACTGAACTGGAGCTCCAAGGCTCGCGTCTGTCATCAGGCATGGTTTGGGGGGGACAATATGCACCCCAGGGTGGGTATTTGCACAGGCTCATCCATGGCTGCTTGTTCTATACATCTACCTCTCATTTGATGCACACCTACTCCAGACCCACAGTAGCTTTGGACAGATGGCCACCCCTAACCCGCCCTGCTCTCCCCATAGGCCGTGTCTGTAGGAGATGTGAGGCGAGAGCTGACGTTCTGTAAGAAGACGGGCTTACGAGTTCTCGGCATCGTGGAGAACATGAGCGGCTTTGTCTGCCCGCACTGTTCGGTGAGTTTCTTGTGACCTCTCGGCTATTGTGGGTTCCCCTTTGTGATGGGGTGTAGTAGGATGTGGTGCCTCGGGTGGAAAATTGGCAAATGCCACGAGGGTGATGCTGTGAGCTGGGCAGGCGAGAAGCTGCTGGCAGCTGCATGTCAGCTTTGGAAGAATCACAGAATCACTAAGGTTGGAAAAGACCTTTGAGGTCATCAAGTCCAACCATCAACACAACACCACCATGCCCACTAAACAATGTCCTGAAGTGCCACATCCACACATTTTTTTGAACACCTCCAGTGATGGTGACTCCACCACCTCCCTGGGCAGCCTGTTCCAATGTTTGGCCGCTCTCTCAGTAAAGGAATTTTTCCTAATATCCAATCTAAACCTCCCCTGGCGCAACTTGAGGCCATTTCCTCTTGTCCTATCGCTGGTTACTTGGGAGAAGAGACCAACCCCCACCTCACCACAACCCCCTTTCAGGTAGCTGTAGAGAGCGATGAGGTCTCCCCTCAGCCTCCTCTTCTCCAGACTGAACAAGCCCAGAAGCCACTGGCTCTGCTTCCCTAAAGAGAGCTGGGGGAGGGCAGAGGCAAAGGCAGTACCCTGAGGCTGGAAGGTGGAGGGGAGCTGGCTCTGCTCTGTTCTCATGGGGCTCCAGGGTCTGGCACTCACTGCTTTTGCTCTTCCTCCTTCAGGAGTGCACGAACATCTTTTCCAAAGGGGGAGGTGAGGAGCTGGCCAAGCACGCGGGTGTCCCTTTCCTAGGTGAGTGGCCTCTTGAGCAGAGCTTTCGTGGTTAGAAGTGATCAGAAGCTCTGTGGTGCTGTGGGAGTGCTTGAGCGTCACGGGGGCAGGCAGGCCAGGCTCTGGGTCCCTGTGAGCCCCTGCTGCCTGGTTGGAGGTGAGGGCTGGCTCTTGCTTTGCTTCTGTCATCCAAACCGCTGAGAGCGGGCATCTGGCCCCACTGGGGCAGAGGTGGTGATGGGCAGCAGCCAGAGCAGGCTGCTGGCACGGTGGGGACAGAGTAAGCGAGCCTGCAGCTGCACAGAGCCATCCAGAAATGCCTCAGAGCCTCCCTGAGAAATGGGGGCCGAGGGCTGAGCCCTGCCCTCCAGGCAAAGGTGGGATCAGAGTGGGAGAGCGTGTCTCATGAAGCACTGTGGTGGGGTCTGGGACCCAGAGGGAGCGGTTGCAGGTGAGAAGTAGCTCCTGGAGAGCTCAGCGAGGGTAGTGGTTGCTCGCTTTCTTAGCGCTTCTCCTGGAGATGACGCTGGCGGGGTATTTCTTCAATCCTGACTCCAGGCCTTTGCCTTACAACGAGCAAGCGGTCACTCTCCCCCGTTCCTCCTACCCCACAGGCTGTGTTCCCCTGGACCCCCAACTCAGCCAGAGCTTGGAGGAAGGCAGAGACTTCATCCAAGAGTTTCCCAAGAGCTCTGCCTTCCCTGCCTTGGCTCACATCGCCCAGCAGATCTTGGACGGTACGTCACAGCAGAGCTCCTGAGGATGGCGCAGAGCTGGACTCCTGCCAGCTGAGCCCCTTGCCTGGCAGGACCACCAGCACCCCGTGCCGGCGGGGAAGGGGGATCCAGAAGCTGTTTAGCTATAAAACTGTCTCTGTGGGGGGTGACGGAGGGAGGAGGGAGCACAGCGTCGGCGCCGCTCACAGTGATCCAAAAAGGGAAGCGCTGGTCCATCCCTCCGGATCCAAAGAGACCCTGTACAGGCGCTCCTGCCCACGCAGCAGCTGCCGGCTTCTCACCTTCTCAACGTGGCGATGCTCTGCCCAGACGGTACAGTTGTTCCTAGCCCCGTGCACGCAGCGCCTTCCTCCTCAGCCAGCCCTTGTGCAGGTGCTTGAGGAACCCTCGCTTGTGTCCGCAGCGCCTCGTACGCTGCGGCGCTTCTGGCGACCGCCCAACGCAGCTTCAGCGGCGAATGCCATCGACTGTTCTTCCCCCACCACTGAACCCAAATGGCACCGATCATCCGGCTCGTGGCTCCGTGTGCTGCTGCCTCCTCCTACTGCTTTCCTTGCGTGACGGATTATACCGCGCTCTGGTTCAGCGGCTGGTGAGTGTGCGCTGGGTGCTCTGATGTGGACCCGAGCCGGGCCACCTTGCTCTGACGCCTCATGTCACCGGTTCCTGATGGACCGGTGAGGGTGTGGCGTGTGCATTGCATGAGAAAATGTCTTCGGGAGATCTACCGCCCGGCTGAGGTCGGCAGCCCTGCCATGCTGGAAACGCAAGGCCTTTTCGGTCTGCTGGGGGTTATTGTGACTCAGGAATATTTTTAAAGGTTCCAGGCAGTAAACACTTTTCTTAATCTGAGCCTGTGACTTATGTTTTTCCCTGGCTTCAGGCTTCATTGTAGCTGTGAGTCTTAGTATCATGAGCACGTCACGTATTTCCTGTTTTTCCCTAGTTTCCTTGCTGGAGTTCAGCTAAATCTTTCCGTACCAGCTTCAAGCTCCAGCTGGTCCCTTTTCCTGCTGCAAGCTGGCCCTGGCAGTGCTTTGTGGGATGCTTTGCTGTTCCCCACACCCCTGCCACACGTGGGGCTCCTCCGTGTCCCCGGGTGGTTCCTGCCTCATTGCTCCAAGTGTCCTGTTTTCCTTGGATCTCCTTCCATGGCCCCAGAGCTGCCGCTCCCAGGGGACGTGCCCTCCTCTTGCAGGCTTGAGTTGAGCTGGGGAAGCAAATGAAGGTGGTGTCCTTGCATCTTATCTCCCTCCCTCCTGGACTCTGAGCCCCTCCTGCCTCCGTGCCCTCTCCATGCGCCAGACTCGCCCTCGCAGTGCTGTTTTGGGGAGACGGGGCGGGAAAAATCTCAGATTTCCACTAACCAAACTGGATTATAGCTGGCAGCCAGCGTTCAGAGGAGCATCTGTCCCTGCCCCTGCTGAGCCTGCAGCCGGGACTCACACCTGACCAGGTTTCCCCACATGCAACTTTCCGGGGAAAATTTTATCTGACCTTTGGTCACTTAGCTGGGATTTGGAGAGCCGGGCAGTGGCACTGGAGTCCGACGGGGCTGTTGGCTTCTGCAGGACGGCCCAGCGCCTCTCGCTCCCACCCAAGGCTTGCCAAAAACTCGCTGCAAACTCCTCCAGCACCCTGGGGAGCCCGCACTCCTCGCCCTGTGTCTGCAAGCCCCGAGGTGGGGGGCTCCGATAAGAAAACCCGTCCGGGTGCGGCATGTGCTTTGGAAAAAACATACTTACAGGATGGGTTGCGATAGCTCCAAAGGTTTATTTGTCTGCTACGATTTATCAGGTAAGTGACGTGTGTGGCTTTTTGCACCCTGCCTACACCTGCTAGTGCAAGGAATGATTAAAGCAAGTCGTCTGCCCCCTTCCCTAGACCTACTGGGGAGCTCAGGGAGGCGGCTTTTAGGATTTCTCGGCCTCCCTGTGGCAGGAAGGTGCTTTGCTTTGTCACAGTGTCGAGTCCTGGCCCTGGCGGCGATGCCCCTCGCCGTGGGGAGGGCTTCGGGCTGGGGGTGCAGCTTTCCCCCCATCCTGGAGGCTCGGAGCTGCTCCTGCTCCCGATGGGAGCTGGGAGCGACGGCACTGACCCAGGGGCTGCTATTTAAATATTAAAAGACTGAAATATTTCAGTTTGAAGCCTGGGGAGCCGATGCCCAGCCAGCAGCACCCGGGCACGGCTCTCCTTGCCGTGGCAGCACCAAGATGGGCAGCTGGAGGTGATGGCAAAGCTGGGCTGACCTGGGGTGGCCACAGAGCCGCAGCTCCTGCGACAGGGCCAGGGAGGTGGCGGGTGAGCGTCCACAGCCGGGCAGCGGCATGTCCCCTGGGAAGGGCCAGCGCACCTCAGCAGTGAGCAAAGCTGTCCTCAGTGGTATCGCGGAGGTCCAGGCCCGCCATAGCCGGGGGGTGGAGGCAGGTGAGGTTGTTGTAGGTGTAGACGGGGACATGGGCATCGTCCCCCTCAGCCACGGACTGCACGAAACGTGGGACCACCACAGGGTGCTGCAGGGAGAAGTCCCGCAAGCCCTTCAAGGAGCAGTTGCAGTGCCAGTTGTTGCCCCCCAGCCACAGCTGCTCCAGGGCGAAGGAGGCGCACAGGAATCCCACCGAGAAGGTCTCCAGTGAGTTGTTCCTCAGGCTGAGGTACCGCAGGTTGGCCAAGGGGGAGATGACAGTGTTGTCCAGCGTCTCCAGTTGGTTGTGGGAGAGGTCAAGCCAGAAGAGTCTCTGGAGCGGGCTGAAGGTGTCCTGGGAGATCTCCAGGAGCTGGTTGGAGGAGAGGAAGAGGTACTCCAGGTTGCTCAGACCCATGAAGAGCTGGGGCGAGAGGTGGCTCAGCCTGTTGTGCTTCAGGTCGAGCTCCAGGAGCTCGTGCAGTTCAATGAAGCTTTGGTCCTCGATGACGGAGATGGCGTTGTGTTGCAAGAAGAGCCGCCGCAGGCTGGAAAGGCTGGAGAAGGTGTTGGCCCGGATCCTGCCAAGGCAGCTGTGCTCCAGGTGGAGGCTGTGCAACTTGGTGACCCCCTTGAAGACGTAGTCAGGGAGGACCTTGATGCAGTTTGCAGACAGGTGCATCACCGCCA